TGCTGTAGGCATGTCTCTCATCAAGGTAACGTCTTTCTTACGTTTTATATGGAAACATATGGTACTATAACATAATATTTGCAACATTTCTTGACATTTCTACTCCAACTTGACCTATTTTGGATATAAACATTGCTGAGTAATTAAGGGGAAACTTTCTTTTTATTTGGTCAATATGTTTTTACTTAAAGGTCACCTATTGTGCAAAATCCACTTCTTCATGTCTTTTCTACATCAACATGTGTCCCCTCTGTGTAAAGAGATTCTGAAAGTTTCAGGAAAAAAGATTCTCTCACTTTTTGTCCTGATCCATTTCTATTAAAACCTCTCTGAAAATGAGCTGATCAGATTTTGGCCACTGATGATGTCATACATTTTTTTTGGCTTGTGTAACCATTCGCCAATAACCAACCAAGGTAACCCCCCCCCCCCCCATTTTCACTTTTTATTAGTTATTTGCCAGGCTGTACAATCATAATGTCTGTGATGTTAGAATCCAAAAGAAGATCCACACAGAGCACGTGTACAGTACTTATACATTTATAATATATCACATTTCAAATTCAAAGAAGCTTAAATGGCAAGAACATAACTATTTTTAATAGGGTTTTTAATACTTTAATTGCATTTTCCCGGTATTTTCTATTCATGTATTTCTTTTTGTTATGCACCAATACATCAAAGCAAGTATTTGTAGGTGGAACCAATTTGGAAATATACCAGATTTGTATCATTCTGGAGCAGGAATTTCACTATGCACAAAACAAAGGGAAAGTATTTCTGCATACTAATTTTTAAATTTGCTGCTCCAGGGGGTGGATGCGGGTCCAGAGGGGCTGAAGCTGATCTCAGAGGTCATCAGAGGGAAGCTGGACATCACAACGATGGTCCTCATGGGAGCAAACATCGCCAACGAGGTCGCTGAGGAGAAGTTCTGTGAAACAACCATTGGTACGGAGGATAATTAAGGGGATCTAATTGAATTTGTCCTTTGGATAGGACTTTACTATGAAAGTAGAGCACAGTATTGCTTTGAGTCTGGATGCATGCTTACAATATACATCTCTCTGTTGACATGTTTTTAGCTGTAAACAGCAACTTTGAGACAGAATCGCAGTGAGCAACATGACTGATTGATATTACATATATACAGTAATTAACATACATTATATTGTTCAAAACTATCATCAAATAGGTGTAATGTCATGCCTCAGATTTGGTTTTCCTATGTTATGTAGACCACATGGTAATCTTCATGGTAACACTTTGGGCTACGCTGTGTCAAATATGTTTTGAAATGAAGTTAAAAAAACACACTTTTACACATCACCATTTTGGTGTGTCTGAAAAAATAAATCCGTACTATTTAATATATAACTTTTAGAAATGTATTTTGAACAAAACAGTGTTATTCCTTCTGTCTAGTCTTACCAATGCATGTTTATGGTTTTATACAGTATACATTTCTTAAGTGCTGCATTATGGGAAATGGTGTTGATTTATTTGTAACTTTTGGACACAGGTTGCAAAGACAAAGCCCACTGGCCCATGCTGAAGGAGCTGATGCAGACCACCAATTTCCGTGTGACTGTGGTGGAGGAGGCTGATGTTGTTGAGATCTGCGGGGCGCTCAAGGTGAGCTCTCCTCCTTCGAAACACATTTACTTATTTCTATTGTCACCAGCATCTGAGTGCCTTAGAAATTCCAATGTCATTCAATGTCTGTGCGCTCTAAAAAATACATAAAAGTTGAAATGCTCCAAAATATCATAAAATAAAAAGAAGTCAATGCAGAATAATGTTTTTTTACAAATCTATTCAATTCACCATTTGCCAAAACCTCTTTAACTAGTAACTCTAAAACACTTCTACGGAAAACTTTCAAATATCATGCTGAAGAGATGCATCTGCTCATATTGAAGGTGCAGAATGGATAAAAAAAATTCTTATCACTTATAATCTCACTATGTTTTTGATATATTTGGATTTCTTTCAATATGTAAACAGTATTCAACAGGGTATGTGTATGCATCAAAGGCATTAAAGAGGCAAACCGTGATCTATTTGGAGGCAATTTCTTTCTCATCCAAACAGTTAGATTCCTCCTGTGCATTAGTACTAACCCCAACCTGTAAAAAGTGCAACCCAACGACAGCAGTGTGCGCTCTTGTGTCTCCAGAACATTGTGGCAGTGGGAGCAGGATTCTGTGATGGCCTGGGCTTCGGCGACAACACCAAGGCAGCGGTGATCCGTCTCGGCCTGATGGAGATGATCGCCTTCGCCAAGATCTTCTGCACAAACTGCCCCGTCTCCCCCGCCACCTTCCTGGAGAGCTGCGGCATCGCTGACCTCATCACGACCTGCTACGGTGGACGCAACCGCAAGATTGGAGAGGCTTTCGCCAAAACAGGAAAAGTATGAGTGAACAGATTTCCTCTTCCTCTGTGTTTGTCTGTATCACTCCCTTCTCGTGGAAAGGATTATCAGACACTTAAACAATGACAACAATCTTTTTTTTCAGAGCATCGAGCAGCTAGAGAACGAGCTGCTGAACGGTCAGAAGCTTCAGGGTCCAGCCACCGCATCAGAGGTCCACGTTATCTTGGAACAGAAAAAACTGGTGGAGAAGTAAGTTTGTCATATTTTGTCCAACACACACATACACCCATGGTAACATTCAGAAGGTATACAACCTAAACTATGCTAAGAAAATAAACGAGTGAACATATTTATGGAGAGGTTATTAAGAAAAGCACAGCTAAAGTAAGTAAGACATAATACATTGTTTTTGAAAAGGTAGCAGACCAATGAAGGGAAGCAGTCAAATGTGAACCTGGAGACAAATCAGGGATTATCCAAAAGATGGCTTGTTGGGACATTATCATTACTACAATTACTGATACGTGTCAGTATAACTGGGTCCATTTGAATATGCTATCTCAACCTAATTTGTGATTGTGTTCACATCATGTTATGCAAAAATGTTGAGGAATAGTGGGACATTTCAATCATACTCTTTCTTGCTGTGAGTTAGCTGAGAACATTGGTACCGCCCTCATGTTATTATAGTACATATGAAGCTAAAGGTGTCAGCTAAGACTGAAAACAGGAGAAACAGCTTGCTTTGTCATATTTTGCTTCTTTAATCTATACAAAAGCGACGAGTGGTTACATGAGTTTGTAAGTGTGGTACCAATCTTCTAATCTAGGTAACCAATAGGACAATTTCCCAAAATGTTCAACCTTTTCTTTGGTAATATCCATTGTTCTTAAATTATTTATTTTACCTCGCCAGGTTTCCTCTCTTCACTGCTGTTCACAATGTCTGCTTCCACGGCCATCCAGTGACAGAGTTCATCAAATGTTTGCAAGACCACCCAGAGCACATGTGATGGATGACAGCAGCCTGATGAACAGGTGAAAGCTGAGAAAGGATTTACACTAGAACTACTGTCTAACCCAGGTCATTTCAGGGGGGATGTTAGGTGAAGACTATGCCTAAACCTGACTACCTTCATGTTTAAATCTCAAACAGAAAATACCTGCGCTGCTTTGTTGACCCGCTTCTGTCGTATTATGGACAGAAAACCCTTACTTCTGTTTTTACTGATTCGAAACAAGTTGTTGTTTTAAATCTACCCAGTCTTAAAAGTTTAAGGGATTTTAATCACTTTGCCTTACACGATATTCAAACCCTGACCTTAATCTTACTAAATGTGACATAATTTATAAAATTAAAGTGCCTTACTCTGCCTTAACACTCACATGTGTTGTTTTTCTTCTGGACTTCTTATAATGATTTATTTTGGAATAAATTATTGAACTTGATGTCTGTGTTCGTGTGTAATGTTTTCGTTTGCACTTGCTGGTGTGTGCCTGCAGGACACACTCTGCAGCACACTCCCTGTAATCTGACCTGAGCTCAGTCAGGCTGCCACTCTAAACTCTTCACCTTTACCATTTTCTAGCCATGTCTACTTTAACCTTTCTTATAGTCCTACCTGAGGCCTCATAACTCATGGCAGAGTATGGATTTTGCTGCAAAAATATTCAATTTATAAATGCCCTCATAATCTAAGAATCTTTTGAATTATTTTGAAACCACTTGATGACAATTAAAATGCAAGAAACCCATGTGTGATCATGACACCATATGCCAGTGTATTCCATCAATGCTCTGTTGATAAGAGATTCAGCTCAAGGCAGCGTGAAAGTCAGTGGGAAGCCTATTTCCTCTGGCCTTGAAGTGGTAATATACATTCCCTGCCTGCCAGTTTCATAATTGTTGAAACACTTTATAAAAATTCCTCCATTATCGTTTCTCCTTGATCCTACTATCGTGTTACTTTTTCTTAGTTTTGTTGTAGACCGTGGAGCCACATCATTTACCACTTGTTTAAATCAGGATCCCTGGCTGAAACCCCTTGCATAGTTATTGAGTCAACTGGCCTGTGAGATTTCTAATAATACCGCGCTCTAAAGGGGCAAATGGTCATCTATAATTAGACAGCAGACAGATCTGCAGCTGCCCCATCCCTCCTTAACAACACGGATGGAGCGATGCTCCATTTTCGTAACACTACACCATTGTGGTGTTGTGAAAAAACAATAATATGTCTGTCCTTTATAAGAAACTTTGAGCAAATTCGAAATGCACAAAATATACATGTTGATGGTGACTTTTAGTGGAGTGCAATGTACATCTTAGCCATTACAGAAATAAAATCCCCTAAAGGTCAAGATGTCACATAATATTCCTTAACAATTTGTAGTTGCGATGTATATTTTGTCCACTAGTGTGCGCCATCACATCGATCACAAGTCGTCAATTGTATCTGCCTTTGACTTGGCACCTTTAAAGATACCCTATCAATCGGATTACTGAATGGAGGCAGTACAATCTCCCAGTGTAGCCTATAATATAGTAGTATAGGTTATACAACACCACCATACCATAGTTAAATATTAAAGTTTCTGACAACAGTGTGGCTCCAACAGGGAAACAGCAGGGATGGATCCCATACATGCATGGCACCCATCCCCTCGGTGAGGGAGGACCCGCCTTCACTTCCTCAATTCCAGCCCTCATCTCAGGAGGGCAGCCAAGGTCTGTCAAGCTTTTTAACAACAGCCAATAAATACCGGAAGCTGACCAGATTGACCTACACAAGATGAAGAAATGTGGACAATTCGTTACTTTATTTGAGCTTTTTGGCAAGTGTCAGGGGTCTTATCATTTACAAGTCAAAACTGGCAAATTATAATAATTTCACAACAGCCAACACTACAACTTAATAGAGCATCCCATCCGCCCTTGATAGGCTGGCTCGCTGATTATTTCTAGGGTGACTGATTTATGGATCATCAATGTATTTTTGTTTGTTTCTATTATAAATAAACGTGATGTTTATTTAAAACCTTAACTATGACTTGACTCAAGGTTATAATAAATTAACGAATTGGGTGATTCAATTGGTCTTATGTAGAACACTTTTTGATTATGTTTGTAGCCTTATTTGCCATTCACATTTATATTAGAAAACAATGATTCCAATGTAACGTGATTGGACCCATACAGTCTATGGACTGGACACACATGACACTCTTTTCACCTATTATAAAAAAAGAGTGATGGTTATGTTTTCTCTGAGACCAATTGAATTCTCTTCTTCATTATTTTCAATAATATGAGGCAGCATAGTTTTTATACTGTATTTTGATGATTACTATCAGCCCCCCCAACTCAAGTAACAAAATGCAATATTATAAAGATAACTCAACAAAAAGTAAATATCTATTAAACCTTAATATGGAAAGTAATAATACTTCGTGATATTGCCACTCAAACTAAATCTAACGGTCACCGTTTGGAGTCTTATTTTGAAAATGTCCACCGGAAGGGCCTTGTTTCCTCTTCAATTCAACAGTAAAGTTGAGGGAGGCAATTCATCGCACAAGTAACCCAGGGGAAGGAGGCTTCATCAAGTTTCTCTCATCCTTTTCTTTTGGATAATAACTTATTTTCATCCAACCGTCCGGGGCCCGGGACACAGAAACATGGTCTGAGTCCGACCCTTGTCAATTAACTACAGGGGTCCCTCAGGGCTCTGTTCTTGGTCCCCTCCTCTTCTCCCTGTACACAAACTGGCTCGGATCAGTCATTAGCCCGCATGGTTTTTCATACCACTGCTACGCTGACGACACCCAATTAATTCTGTCCTTTCCCCGCTCAGAGACCCAGGTCGTCGCACGCATCTCTGCTTGTCTAGCTGACATCTCTCAGTGGATGTCTGCTCATCACCTCAAGCTCAACCTTGACAAGACTGAGCTGCTTTTCCTTCCGGGAAAAGATTGTCCCACTCTTGACCTAACAATCAACATCGGCACCTCAGTTGTTTCCCCGAGTCAGACTGCAAGGAATCTGGGTGTGACCCTAGATAACAACCTGTCCTTCACTGCAAACATCGCTGCTACAACCCGTTGCTGCAGATACACGCTTTACAACATCAGGAAGATACGTCCCCAGCTGACTCAGAAAGCGACTCAGGTTCTGGTCCAGGCTCTCGTCATCTCACGCCTAGACTACTGCATCTCCCTCCTGGCTGGTCTACCTGCATGTGTCATCCGACCTCTGCAGCTCATCCAGAATGCAGCGGCTCGTCTGGTCTTCAACCTTCCTAAATTTTCCCACACTACTCCGCTCCTTCGCTCCCTTCACTGGCTTCCGGTAACTGCTAGAATCCACTTCAAGACACTGGTACTTGCTTACCATGCTGCGAATGGATCTGGCCCTTCGTACATCCAGGACATGGTTAAACCGTACACCCCAGCGCGTGCACTACGCTCTGCATCAGCCAAACGACTCGCTGCTCCCTCGCTGCGAGGGGGACCCAAGTTCCCATCAGCAAAAACACGTGGGTTTGCTATCCTGGCTCCAAGATGGTGGAATGAGCTCCCCATTGACATCAGGACAGCAGATAGCTTACACATCTTCCGGCGCAAACTGAAAACTCATCTCTTTCGACTCCACTTCGAGCGATAGATTTATTAACAAAGCACATTTATACTAATAAAGGACTGGCTTACCTAAAGCCAGTTGAGTAGCACTTGAAATGTTTGGCTCTATGAAACCTGATGTACTTATATGATTCTGTTTTCTTCAAGGTTGTGTCTTCCTGGTCGAATGTACTTATTGTAAGTCGCTTTGGATAAAGCGTCAGCTAAATGCAATGTAATGTAATGTTAACACATTTGATCGCACAATTCCCTTAACACAATATAAACTGTCAAACCTATGAATGGATTTCAGACAACTTTTTCATATATTTGTCTCTAGTATCACTTCAGGACCATTCATTTAAACCAATGTATAATTTCAATGTAACAGAAAACATCAGGACATTTAATCTTTTTTGGGAAACTTGAAGTACAACAAGCCACTGTCTCTCACTGTGTACCTCCATGTCCACAGGGGCTCTGCCGTTGCCAAGATTGTGGGTGCCAACGCAGCCAAGTATGACAGGTTCGACACCACAGTGAACATGTGGGTGTTCGAGGAGACGGTGAACGGACGTAAACTCACAGAAATCATCAACAACGACCACGAGAATGTGAAATATCTGCCCGGCCACAAGCTGCCCCCCAATGTGGTAAACAAACACTCTTGGATTACATTTATGACTTTCTGGTGTTGTGATATAAAGTAAAGTTTCACCATCTTTCCTCTCTCTCCTTCAGTTGGCTGTTCCAGACTTAGCTGAGTCTGTGACAGGAGCTGACATCCTCATCTTCGTGATCCCTCACCAGTTCATCGTGAGAGTGTGTGACACTATCAAAGACCACATCAAGAAGGATGCTGTAGGCATGTCTCTCATCAAGGTAACGTCTTTCTTACGTTTTATATGGAAACATATGGTACTATAACATAATATTTGCAACATTTCTTGACATTTCTACTCCAACTTGACCTATTTTGGATATAAACATTGCTGAGTAATTAAGGGGAAACTTTCTTTTTATTTGGTCAATATGTTTTTACTTAAAGGTCACCTATTGTGCAAAATCCACTTCTTCATGTCTTTTCTACATCAACATGTGTCCCCTCTGTGTAAAGAGATTCTGAAAGTTTCAGGAAAAAAGATTCTCTCACTTTTTGTCCTGATCCATTTCTATTAAAACCTCTCTGAAAATGAGCTGATCAGATTTTGGCCACTGATGATGTCATACATTTTTTTTGGCTTGTGTAACCATTCGCCAATAACCAACCAAGGTAACCCCCCCCCCCCCATTTTCACTTTTTATTAGTTATTTGCCAGGCTGTACAATCATAATGTCTGTGATGTTAGAATCCAAAAGAAGATCCACACAGAGCACGTGTACAGTACTTATACATTTATAATATATCACATTTCAAATTCAAAGAAGCTTAAATGGCAAGAACATAACTATTTTTAATAGGGTTTTTAATACTTTAATTGCATTTTCCCGGTATTTTCTATTCATGTATTTCTTTTTGTTATGCACCAATACATCAAAGCAAGTATTTGTAGGTGGAACCAATTTGGAAATATACCAGATTTGTATAATTCTGGAGCAGGAATTTCACTATGCACAAAACAAAGGGAAAGTATTTCTGCATACTAATTTTTAAATTTGCTGCTCCAGGGGGTGGATGCGGGTCCAGAGGGGGCTGAAGCTGATCTCAGAGGTCATCAGAGGGAAGCTGGACATCACAACGATGGTCCTCATGGGAGCAAACATCGCCAACGAGGTCGCTGAGGAGAAGTTCTGTGAAACAACCATTGGTACGGAGGATAATTAAGGGAATCTAATTGAATTTGTCCTTTGGATAGGACTTTACTATGAAAGTAGAGCACAGTATTGCTTTGAGTCTGGATGCATGCTTACAATATACATCTCTCTGTTGACATGTTTTTAGCTGTAAACAGCAACTTTGAGACAGAATCGCAGTGAGCAACATGACTGATTGATATTACATATATACAGTAATTAACATACATTATATTGTTCAAAACTATCATCAAATAGGTGTAATGTCATGCCTCAGATTTGGTTTTCCTATGTTATGTAGACCACATGGTAATCTTCATGGTAACACTTTGGGCTACGCTGTGTAAAATATGTTTTGAAATGAAGTTAAAAAAACACACTTTTACACATCACCATTTTGGTGTGTCTGAAAAAATAAATCCGTACTATTTAATATATAACTTTTAGAAATGTATTTTGAACAAAACAGTGTTATTCCTTCTGTCTAGTCTTACCAATGCATGTTTATTGTTTTATACAGTATACATTTCTTAAGTGCTGCAATATGGGAAATGGTGTTGATTTATTTGTAACTTTTGGACACAGGTTGCAAAGACAAAGCCCACTGGCCCATGCTGAAGGAGCTGATGCAGACCACCAATTTCCGTGTGACTGTGGTGGAGGAGGCTGATGTTGTTGAGATCTGCGGGGCGCTCAAGGTGAGCTCTCCTCCTTCGAAACACATTTACTTATTTCTATTGTCACCAGCATCTGAGTGCCTTAGAAATTCCAATGTCATTCAATGTCTGTGCGCTCTAAAAAATACATAAAAGTTGAAATGCTCCAAAATATCATAAAATAAAAAGAAGTCAATGCAGAATAATGTTTTTTTACAAATCTATTCAATTCACCATTTGCCAAAACCTCTTTAACTAGTAACTCTAAAACACTTCTACGGAAAACTTTCAAATATCATGCTGAAGAGATGCATCTGCTCATATTGAAGGTGCAGAATGGATAAAAAAATTCTTATCACTTATAATCTCACTATGTTTTTGATATATTTGGATTTCTTTCAATATGTAAACAGTATTCAACAGGGTATGTGTATGCATCAAAGGCATTAAAGAGGCAAACCGTGATCTATTTGGAGGCAATTTCTTTCTCATCCAAACAGTTAGATTCCTCCTGTGCATTAGTACTAACCCCAACCTGTAAAAAGTGCAACCCAACGACAGCAGTGTGCGCTCTTGTGTCTCCAGAACATTGTGGCAGTGGGAGCAGGATTCTGTGATGGCCTGGGCTTCGGCGACAACACCAAGGCAGCGGTGATCCGTCTCGGCCTGATGGAGATGATCGCCTTCGCCAAGATCTTCTGCACAAACTGCCCCGTCTCCCCCGCCACCTTCCTGGAGAGCTGCGGCATCGCTGACCTCATCACGACCTGCTACGGTGGACGCAACCGCAAGATTGGAGAGGCTTTCGCCCAAAACAGGAAAAGTATGAGTGAACAGATTTCCTCTTCCTCTGTGTTTGTCTGTATCACTCCCTTCTCGTGGAAAGGATTATCAGACACTTAAACAATGACAACAATCTTTTTTTTCAGAGCATCGAGCAGCTAGAGAACGAGCTGCTGAACGGTCAGAAGCTTCAGGGTCCAGCCACCGCATCAGAGGTCCACGTTATCTTGGAACAGAAAAAACTGGTGGAGAAGTAAGTTTGTCATATTTTGTCCAACACACACATACACCCATGGTAACATTCAGAAGGTATACAACCTAAACTATGCTAAGAAAATAAACGAGTGAACATATTTATGGAGAGGTTATTAAGAAAAGCACAGCTAAAGTAAGTAAGACATAATACATTGTTTTTGAAAAGGTAGCAGACCAATGAAGGGAAGCAGTCAAATGTGAACCTGGAGACAAATCAGGGATTATCCAAAAGATGGCTTGTTGGGACATTATCATTACTACAATTACTGATACGTGTCAGTATAACTGGGTCCATTTGAATATGCTATCTCAACCTAATTTGTGATTGTGTTCACATCATGTTATGCAAAAATGTTGAGGAATAGTGGGACATTTCAATCATACTCTTTCTTGCTGTGAGTTAGCTGAGAACATTGGTACCGCCCTCATGTTATTATAGTACATATGAAGCTAAAGGTGTCAGCTAAGACTGAAAACAGGAGAAACAGCTTGCTTTGTCATATTTTGCTTCTTTAATCTATACAAAAGCGACGAGTGGTTACATGAGTTTGTAAGTGTGGTACCAATCTTCTAATCTAGGTAACCAATAGGACAATTTCCCAAAATGTTCAACCTTTTCTTTGGTAATATCCATTGTTCTTAAATTATTTATTTTACCTCGCCAGGTTTCCTCTCTTCACTGCTGTTCACAATGTCTGCTTCCACGGCCATCCAGTGACAGAGTTCATCAAATGTTTGCAAGACCACCCAGAGCACATGTGATGGATGACAGCAGCCTGATGAACAGGTGAAAGCTGAGAAAGGATTTACACTAGAACTACTGTCTAACCCAGGTCATTTCAGGGGGGATGTTAGGTGAAGACTATGCCTAAACCTGACTACCTTCATGTTTAAATCTCAAACAGAAAATACCTGCGCTGCTTTGTTGACCCGCTTCTGTCGTATTATGGACAGAAAACCCTTACTTCTGTTTTTACTGATTCGAAACAAGTTGTTGTTTTAAATCTACCCAGTCTTAAAAGTTTAAGGGATTTTAATCACTTTGCCTTACACGATATTCAAACCCTGACCTTAATCTTACTAAATGTGACATAATTTATAAAATTAAAGTGCCTTACTCTGCCTTAACACTCACATGTGTTGTTTTCTTCTGGACTTCTTATAATGATTTATTTTGGAATAAATTATTGAACTTGATGTCTGTGTTCGTGTGTAATGTTTTCGTTTGCACTTGCTGGTGTGTGCCTGCAGGACACACTCTGCAGCACACTCCCTGTAATCTGACCTGAGCTCAGTCAGGCTGCCACTCTAAACTCTTCACCTTTACCATTTTCTAGCCATGTCTACTTTAACCTTTCTTATAGTCCTACCTGAGGCCTCATAACTCATGGCAGAGTATGGATTATTGCTGCAAAAAATATTCAATTTATAAATGCCCTCATAATCTAAGAATCTTTTGAATTATTTTGAAACCACTTGATGACAATTAAAATGCAAGAAACCCATGTGTGATCATGACACCATATGCCAGTGTATTCCATCAATGCTCTGTTGATAAGAGATTCAGCTCAAGGCAGCGTGAAAGTCAGTGGGAAGCCTATTTCCTCTGGCCTTGAAGTGGTAATATACATTCCCTGCCTGCCAGTTTCATAATTGTTGAAACACTTTATAAAAATTCCTCCATTATCGTTTCTCCTTGATCCTACTATCGTGTTACTTTTTCTTAGTTTTGTTGTAGACCGTGGAGCCACATCATTTACCACTTGTTTAAATCAGGATCCCTGGCTGAAACCCCTTGCATAGTTATTGAGTCAACTGGCCTGTGAGATTTCTAATAATACCGCGCTCTAAAGGGGCAAATGGTCATCTATAATTAGACAGCAGACAGATCTGCAGCTGCCCCATCCCTCCTTAACAACACGGATGGAGCGATGCTCCATTTTCGTAACACTACACCATTGTGGTGTTGTGAAAAAAACAATAATATGTCTGTCCTTTATAAGAAACTTTGAGCAAATTCGAAATGCACAAAATATACATGTTGATGGTGACTTTTAGTGGAGTGCAATGTACATCTTAGCCATTACAGAAATAAAATCCCCTAAAGGTCAAGATGTCACATAATATTCCTTAACAATTTGTAGTTGCGATGTATATTTTGTCCACTAGTGTGCGCCATCACATCGATCACAAGTCGTCAATTGTATCTGCCTTTGACTTGGCACCTTTAAAGATACCCTATCAATCGGATTACTGAATGGAGGCAGTACAATCTCCCAGTGTAGCCTATAATATAGTAGTATAGGTTATACAACCACCACCATACCATAGTTAAATATTAAAGTTTCTGACAACAGTGTGGCTCCAACAGGGAAACAGCAGGATGGATCCCATACATGCATGGCACCCATCCCCTCGGTGAGGGAGGACCCGCCTTCACTTCCTCAATTCCAGCCCTCATCTCAGGAGGGCAGCCAAGGTCTGTCAAGCTTTTTAACAACAGCCAATAAATACCGGAAGCTGACCAGATTGACCTACACAAGATGAAGAAATGTGGACAATTCGTTACTTTATTTGAGCTTTTTGGCAAGTGTCAGGGGTCTTATCATTTACAAGTCAAAACTGGCAAATTATAATAATTTCACAACAGCCAACACTACAACTTAATAGAGCATCCCATCCGCCCTTGATAGGCTGGCTCGCTGATTATTTCTAGGGTGACTGATTTATGGATCATCAATGTATTTTTGTTTGTTTCTATTATAAATAAACGTGATGTTTATTTAAAACCTTAACTATGACTTGACTCAAGGTTATAATAAATTAACGAATTGGGTGATTCAATTGGTCTTATGTAGAACACTTTTTGATTATGTTTGTAGCCTTATTTGCCATTCACATTTATATTAGAAAACAATGATTCCAATGTAACGTGATTGGACCCATACAGTCTATGGACTGGACACACATGACACTCTTTTCACCTATTATAAAAAAAGAGTGATGGTTATGTTTTCTCTGAGACCAATTGAATTCTCTTTCTTCATTATTTTCAATAATATGAGGCAGCATAGTTTTTATACTGTATTTTGATGATTACTATCAGCCCCCCCAACTCAAGTAACAAAATGCAATATTATAAAGATAACTCAACAAAAAGTAAATATCTATTAAACCTTAATATGGAAAGTAATAATACTTCGTGATATTGCCACTCAAACTAAATCTAACGGTCACCGTTTGGAGTCTTATTTTGAAAATGTCCACCGGAAGGGCCTTGTTTCCTCTTCAATTCAACAGTAAAGTTGAGGGAGGCAATTCATCGCACAAGTAACCCAGGGGAAGGAGGCTTCATCAAGTTTCTCTCATCCTTTTCTTTTGGATAATAACTTATTTTCATCCAACCGTCCGGGGCCCGGGACACAGAAACATGGCTGCTCTTTCAGCCTGGTTCTGGAACGAGCGGTTCTGGCTCCCACACAACGTCACCTGGGCGGACCTGGCGGACCCGGCTCCCGGGGTGGAGTACCCCAAAGCGGGGCACTTGTTTTCTGCCTTGCCGCTGGCTTTGGGGATTTTCGCCTTGAGGATTCTCTTCGAAAGGTGTGTCCACGTCGCTCATGCCGCTGTTTCCTGTAGGGTGGGGGTGAAAATACTTTTAACAGAGGTCTACTCACAACAATAGAGTGATGGCTTTGCTGGCAGTGGTTGAACCAAAGTATTCACATTTGTGTTAACTCGGGAAATTCTTTGGTCAAACACCATTTCCTCGTGACCAGTAGTTCTTCCGTCCAACAAAACACTACCATCTATTTTTTTGTTATTCTCTTTCTCTTCTACTTTTTAAGAACCATGTGTGATCATTATTGTCTTCAGGAGGTACCTTCAAGGTGCCTGCAACACCGCCCACCACCTCTCTTCTCTAAACTCTAGACTAGTTTGGTAATCATTGACTGTTAACCAATCTGCTTATGTGTCTTTAGCTGCCATTAACTGGTGCATGCGTGCTTGGGACTGCTGCCATCCAGCCTGCTGCTTCTCTGAAACGGCTTCATCTTCTTTTCACTGATAAGATCAAGGTGTCCATCATGTCTCAGGTCCTGTGTAAAGGTTAAGCTAAGTTCAACAGTGGAGCAGGAAACAGTGTCATGTATGGCAGTCAACAATAGGCTGTCAAACCCACACTCTGGTTTGGTACCAGGGGTCTTTCCAACTAACACGCGCGCACGCATGCACGCACACACACACACACACACACACACACACACACACACACACACACACACACACACACACACACACACACACACACACACACTAATAATAAACATATGGACAGGGGTTATTTTATTTTTTATTTTGGAGTTAAATGCATCAATCTCATGCATTTTGAGGGGAAAATAAAGAGACTAGATCTATGGAAACACCCATGAAACAGATGACACATCATGTAGTAGACAGACAGTCACCCTGTGAGGCAAACCCACATTTGCGCAGCGTTGCGTTCACAATACATAAACAAAACAAACAAATCGCCAGGCCAGCAGGCCACTTAACAGGCCAGTCCGGGCATGCCAGCAGCCCTACTTGCTACAAACTTAAGGTTCAACTACGCACACACACACACACACACACACACACACACATACACACACACACACACACACACACCACACACACACACACACACACACACACCACACACACACACACACACACACACACACACATCATCTTGGCTCGCGCAGCACGCTCACATGCATAGATTGCGTAATAATGTATTGCTCACCTTGGAGGTGCAGTGCAGGCATACTGTCATTCAAGAGATGCGTTGTTCTTTTGGAAAACATGTTTTTCTTTTAGCCTATATTACCTCGTTAACGTAAATAACGCTCAAGTCATTACATTGACACATGCATTATTTGTGATTTAAAATAATGGTTGTTGGTAATGTATTAGCGACCCCCACGTATGATTTCACTGCGTCCGTGGGAGCTCAGACCCCTCCCACATAACTCGAACCGTGGTTGGTACACACTTGGATCATCCAAGTGTGTACCAACCAGGGTTAGGTGGCTTACATCCAAGTTGGATGTCAGCCACCTGCATGTCTTGCACACAAACAAGTGAAGAACTTCTACAGGAATTTTGCTTTGGCAAACCAGAGCAAATGTTGTGTGCAACTAATATGCCTATTGTTTCATACTTGACCTGTCATGACCTTCCTTGAGTTATCTTATCACCACAGGCCTTACCATCTTCCTCACACTCAAAGAATGCTACTTTCCACCAAGTTTCATGAAAATTCTGCAAGTAGTTATTCCAAACTAAACCAACAGCATAACCTCGTTTTTCGGGTAACAAGTCCAAGCTTACTTCTCAAATATTGATATGAAAGTTTGTTTAGTTTGTGTTGTGTTATTGGTCCCTTAAAACGGTGTATTTACACAGGCGGTGACCATGGACCTTATACAGTATTTTAAGAAAAAGTTTTCACAATTATGTCGTTAGTTGTTAAAGGTTTTGCCTGTTTCCTTTAAATTCAAGATACAAGAATAAGAGGAGCGTTGCATTGGACCAAGCTAAATGAACATCATAGCAGACTATACACGTTATTACTCACATTTCAGATAGGCCCCTTTAGAGTATTTGTTTTGGCTCAAATGCGCCCTTTTATTTGACTTATTGCTTAATGGTTTCCATCTTTTGATTGCTTAACTAAACAATTGCTCTGTTATTTGTTTGCATAGTGTTGAAGCCAGTAGCAGGGTGCCAGTGTTCAGAGAAACATTGGAGGTTGATAGATATGTTGGATTTCTCAGTTCAGAATGGCGAGAAAAGATGAAACAAAGAAATATAAACAATGGGTTTCGGGATATATTTCAGTTTATACAGTGAAAGAAAGATGGAGATTGTATCATAAGCTTTGGTCTTCTATGCAATGATTAGTTGACTAATCAATTGGCCGATAGTCAGAACAAATCATCTCCAATTATTTAGATCGATTTATTGATAAACTAGATTCCAAATGCAAAAATTGCAGAGAATTGTTTTCAGCCTCTCAAATATTGAGATGTTTGTCCTATTACATTACATTTATTTTATCTAACGGCAAAAGACGTTCTCATCTTGTTACTTTACCTGTAAAGGGATTCTTCATTGACTCTACAAAAAATTGCATTATATTAGT